CCCTGGGGAGTGATTTCTCGCTGTCTTGCTGTCTCTCACTGTCTTTCTGGCAAGCGCATGCGCACTATAGAAAAAAACTGCTAAAAAAAAAAAAAAAAAGTCCTTGTGCCTTGTCATATGCAGAATGCAGTGCCCCAGTGACCACACCGCGGGGACCAGCTGAGTGATTTGCAAACACTCACCCCTCCCCCAGTTTCTGGATGAAGAGGTAACGCTTATTGTCAATGATGACAGTTCCCCGAGAGCAGACACACAGTGCGTGGCCCATAATGTCTCAGTCATCCTCCTCAAGGACGGTCTGAGGCTGCTGAAGGGTGGGTCCAGGATGAGTGGGCTCTTCCCGGCGATGCGCTGGGGGCCCAGCGGATCATGCTGGAAGGAAAAGAACGGCAGGGTCGTGGGCCCAGCACGGTACAGACGACCTTGAGGTACCAATGCGGAACTCCCAAGCCCAGGGCTCGGAACCTGTTTTCCGGTCTAGAGAAAATCGGCCCAGGCGACGCCAGCTCCAAGAAGGCTGGAGTCAGGTGCCCTGAAGCCTCAGGCCACGCAGCAACTACCGGCCCGCCTCCTGCAATCCCACCCACCTTCGGGCGGCTCCCTCTCCCACGCCCGGGCCGTCCTGGGTAGGACATAGGGCGGTAGGTCCAGAGGGGGTTCGAAGCTCAGGCCCACCGCTTGCAGAGCTCGGCCCAGCTTCGGCACCGAAAGCCCGGGGTCGTCCAGCGGCGGTCTACACTGACCTGGCTCGGGCCGGAGCGAAGCGCGAGGGACCGGAAGTGGTGGTGACATCATCAGTCCGCGCCGGCGTAACGGCTCGCGGTATCCTGGCAACCGCGGGGCATCCGCAGGATGTGGGGTCGCAGAGCCGAGAGGCCGGGGGCGGGTTAGGCTTGGGGGCGGACGGGTCCCAGGGCTGGCGTGAGAGTTCCCTACTTGGGCTTCGACAGGAGTCAGGACGCAGGCACCTGCGCCAAAGGGGAGCAGAGCCGGGCTCGGCCTCTATCCCCCAATGTCGGAGGTAGGAGGCCTCATCCCTCTGGCGCCCTGGGGCAAGGAGGCGGAAAACTGCAGCCCGACAGGGTGCGAGGAGGGGCAGGGGCCGGGGGGCCTGGGCTGCTAGAGCTCTGATCTGTACAAAGGGGCGCTGGCCGTATCCTACTGCTCTCGTCTCAGTGGTTAAGAGCTCAGGCTCCTTAACTAGACTGCCAGTTTCTTTTCTTGTTCCTTTTTAGAAGTTTTTGTCTTAGGGCGCGTGTACTCGCCAGAGAGAAAGACAGAGACAGTGGGAGAAAAAGTGTGAAATCACCCCCTAGCAGGGATGACCATGGCACAACCCCTTCCTTTCCATTCTCCTCCCAGGATCTTGGGCATACACCCACATACAAGTGGTATGAGTTTCAGGCTACCGGGTCCAGGACTTGAACCACAGGTGGCCATGTGGAAGTCCAGCCACGAAAGGGCAAAACCACCTGCTGGCTCCAGAATACCAGTTTCTAAAGCTGGTCTTCATAGCCTCCTAGTCTTTCCCCCTCTCTGTGATATGTATGTGTGTGTATGTGTGTATATGTCTGGTCAAATTAAAGTAAATGAATGAATAAATAAAATTAAATAAATCATTATTTTTAAAAAAGAATTACTGATTTAGAGACTGACTGATGGCATGGTGGTTAAGGTGGTGGACTCCCACGTAGCGTAGCATGGTTCAAGTCCCAGACCTGGTGGCTTGCTTTCTCACTTTCCCCTTCTCCCTTTCACATAGTCTCTCTCTTTTTTTTCTCTCTCTCTCTCTGTCTCTTTGGTCAAATTTTAAAATATTGGGAGGTCAGCAGGAGGTGTAGTG